TTTAGGATGGTGAAAGTAGTGACCTTGAGACTCTTGTTTTGACCAAACAAACATCATGTGGTCTTTCGGGACTATTGTGTGCTCAATCATGTCTAAGGTTGTTGTGGGCCCCCGACTCTATGTCTTTTAGCAATCCTTGAATGTGTGTAGTGAGAAATCAAATTGTGAGTCCAAGTCCCGAGCCAATGGTCTAGAACTTGCCCTGAATGTTTGTTGAGGCAAAATTTTTAGTGAAATTCGACTTGAGAAGTGATTATAGGCTCTCCTTGATCCAAACAATAGTCGAACAATTCCATAGCCTACCAATGATATAATCCCTAGCTAACCCTTTTGAGCCTTAAACCTTTTTTTCTTTTAAGAACCAATGTTACAAGCCTATGCCCGTTCTAAATTATACCCTCTCTTGGCACCCAAATCGTCCATTAAGTAATGGCAAAAGTCTAAGTTTGGGGGGGAGAGATAAGAAAAGAAACAAAGTGATAAAAGGTACAAAAGCAAAAGGAAAGGAAGGTGATGAAAAAGAAAGAAAAGGAAAAGACAAAAATAAAGCCCAATGTGCAAAGAATAAAATGGGATTCAAGAAAAACAAAAATGAAAAGGTGTGGAAAAAGTAGAAAAAGAAGAAATGCTTTGAATTGCATAAGAAAGAGTGACAATGTGTCTCTCTAACCCCTTGAAAAGAAGTGAAATACTCAAAGAGTCAAAGAGAATTGTGCCAGAATGAATAAAAAGAAGTGCTTAAGGGAAGATGGAACCCATATAGACTAACAACTTTTCCTACCCTGAGCCAAAAGCCTTCACATTGACTCCACGAAAGCCCTATATGATCTTGAGTTGGATGACGCTCGCATTAGTGGATACTTACATGAGGGTCAAGCATATAGTACTTAGAGCCGAACTTGTGACCTTTCCTTGAGAGAGACGAGTGAATCCCCATTAACCTTGGTTTGCGTGTTTATACTCTAAAAGGTGAGGTTTGCTTAGGGAGAGTTGAGGATGTGTGATTTTGGGTTCCACAGTGACCAAAGTAATTGAGAGAGTTCTTTGATGTAATGAGTCAATTCTTGATGCTCTTGTGTCACACTTGATCCATAGTTTGTCAAAGTTTAAATTTTGTTAATGATCCATTCGTATTGAGGGCAATTGTTAGTCCTAATTGATGCGTGTTGAGGTTACTTTAGGACAGCTGGAATTACTTGGATTTTCCCTTAAGGGGTGGGTCTTATTTTGTTTTCTTGAGGACAAGCAAAGGTTTAAGTTTGGGGGAGTTGATAAGTTAGGATTTAAACATGTTTTATGCCCCTACTTGCCTATACTTTGATCATATATTGCTACAAAATAGTCCTAAAAGGCTCACAAATTATGCTTGATTGCAGGTTTGATTGACAACGTGATAAAATGTCAAAGATCGGCTCAAAAAGAGGAGTGAAACCTGCTCAAGTATCAAAGAACAAGAAATTTAAAAAAAGAAGGCCTAGTGCGGACCGCGCAAAGTGGAATGCGGCCGCACTAGGTGGTTCAGAGAGTCGGTGAATCAGGCTAGAAGAAGCGCGGCCGCGGTACACATCTCGCGGTCCGCGGTGAATGCTTCGCGGCCTCACTACTCTTTTGTGCGATCCGCGGTCATGAGATTCAGAGAGATGAAAGTCTGCAAAGCCAGTGCCATGTGGTCCGCGGTCGTGATTGCGCGGACCGTGCCATCTCCCTCTGCGGCCGCGGTCCATTCTACGCGGTCCGCAGAGTCCAAGTTCAGAGAAGCAGAAGTGAGCCCAGTGCGGCCGCGGTCCATTTAATGCGGCCCGCACTAACCCCACGGGGGTATTTTTGTCCAGCCTAGTATAAATAGAACATTTTACCATTTTTTAGGGAAAGAGAGATCAGACAAGGGTTGCGCTCGTGAGAACGAATTTTGTACCCATTTTTGGCACTTTTGCTTTATATTTACAATAAATTCTTGTATTTTAATTTTAGCAATTAATTAATATGCTTAGTTCTTCATCTATTTCTATATTTTATTCTTCAAGCATGAGTAGCTAAACCCATTATCTAGGGTTGTGGCTCAACCCTAGTATGGGTAATTGATGGGTGTTGCCATCTAATGTTAGATTGACTATGGGTGTTTGCTATTTGGGTTGATTTTATGTTTTAATCTAGAATTGGTGATTGCAAATACTGATTCAAGCTTTGTAAGTTTAACTCTTCTTGAGAAAGAGAGTTTATGACCCCAAAATTGACCCAACAAGGAATTGAGATGAACTCATGAGAAATGATAGTTCCAATTAACAAGTTAAACCTCAAGAGAGTAATTACCCTACTTGAACCCTAGTTGCTTGGTCTAATTTGCCTACCCATTTGGTCTTGAGAGAGTCAATTGGCTAAAGTCACTTTCTCTACTGAGAGGTGTGAGAGTGGGTAAAATTGTGCAACGGTTATAGCATAAGCCCCAATTATATCAATCGAACCTTAGTAACATCTACCCGTCAATTAGCCACCTAAGTAGTGTCACGACCCTAGTGCCCTTCTTCTCATTAGATATAACTTAGCAATATTCCTGTAGCATAATTTAGTGTTAATCAATATTTTTATAAAAATAGCTATAATTCGAAAACCCAGAAATGTTTGAAGTGACATTATGAGTACAAACACATCTCTAGGCTAGACGGACAATCCAACTCCACTACTAGCTCCTTGAGGAAATCGATCCCGACCCACATATCGGGTAAAAGCTATTGCAACCCGCTCTTCCTACATTAGTGTAGCGTCGAGTTGGAAGCGATCAATGAGCTCAAAAGAAATGGAATGCAACAAACAGGCGGTTTTGAATCCAATTTGTACTTCAGCCCAAACAAGTAAACATGCAATCTCCAAGAGCAAGCCCATATTCGTAACTCTATAGGGCGATGTGCATAATAGCCATTAAGAGCACATGTATTTACTTTAAAGCCATTGTTTTAAATGTCTTTAGTCTTTAGCCACTGGTCTAATAAACTTTTACCTGACTGGACGAAAATAACCTTCTACGATAACTTATACCTACGCTTTTATTAACTTTTATCTGACTGGACGATCAGCAGCAGCAGCAGCAGATTGTGATCGTCGAATTTCAAACTCTAGAATTGCAGAAGCTTCTCTTCCGATTTGAAACTATAGAATTCAACTTTCTCGTACAAAAATCGACACAAATTTACAGTAAGCTATGCTTTTGTGTGTTTCTATTGATTTTTATTTCGTTACTAGGAATTTGATTTTTTTTTTGAAATTCTGGATTGATAAGGTTAAGGACATCACGTCCTGTGATAATTCTATAAAAATTGAGCACATAATGGTAAGGATTTGGTGTCCTTAACATGACCGTTGTTACTAATATTAAGGACATAGTGTTCTGATTTTGCAAATTGAATTGAAAAAGTTAAGGACATAATGTCCTTAACTTTTTTGTTGTTCTTCTGAATATTAAGGACATACTGTCATAGTTTTGCAAATTATTTTGAAAAAGTTAAGGACATTTGGTCTTGAAGTTTGAGTTTCAAGTTGAAAAGTTAAGGACACTTGGTCCTGAAGTTTGAGTTTCAAGTTGAAAAGTTAAGGACACTTGGTCCTGAACTTTGACTTACATGTTCCAAAATTAAGGACACTTGATCCTTAACTTAGAGTTACAAGTTAAAAAGTTAAAGACAGGCAGTCTTTAACTTCAAGTTTTAAGTTCAAAAGTTAAGGACACTTGGTCCTTAACTTTGAATTCTAAGTTCAAAAGTTAAGGACACTTGGTCCTGAACTTTTATTTACAAGTTCAAAAGTTAAGGACACTTGGTCGTTTACTTACAGTTCCAAGTTCATAACTTAAGGACACTTGGTCTTGAACTTTAAGTTCCAAGTTCACAAGTTAAGGACACTTGGTCTTGAACTTTAAGTTCCAAGTTCACAAGTTAAGGACACTTGGTCCTGAACTTTGATTACAAGTTAAAAAGTTAAGGACATTTGGTCCTTAACTTTGAATTCCAAGTTCAAAAGTTAAGGACGCTTGGTCCTTAACTTGGTCTTGAATTTACAGTATCTATTTTTAATTATACAAGGATTGCTCTATAAAGTATGTTCTGAGTTTCCCATTCTCTTGACTTAAGGATGGAAACAATATGCATTATAGTTGCTTTTAATCGTAGATGGACTGAAGACTATAAGTATCTTGATCATCAAACAAAGCTTGTTCTAGTACCCGATGCAATTCGGTTTGAAGATTTCATTAAACAGATCTTCGAAGTTATTAAATTGGATAGAGATAAGTTTAAAGCAGTGATATGGTTTGATATAAACCTTAGAACAAGCAAGGAAATGCTTGTATCCAAAGATTTAGATCTTCACACATGTATGGAGTTACAAAAAAGTCATTCACTCTTCAAGGGCTGGCATTTCATTATTGATATTTCGGAAAGAGTTTTTGGATCAACAAGCACCTTTGAAGATGTCAACAGAGAAACTCAACATGACAATCAAAACAAATGCCAATAGATAATGGAAATAGATATGGTTGAAGCTCAACCAATAACTGAAGAGGTGCTTCAAACATTTGATTCTATTCAAGTAGAAGGACAAAGCATTAAAGAGATTGACAACGAACAAGCTTTGGGTATTCAAGTCTTAGAGAGTGCACCGGTAATCGAAGAAGTTGCTGAAAAAACCTCTACTAAACTAACTAGACGAAGGTCAAATTTGAAAGAAAAAAAAAAGAATCCCCAACTACGATATTAAGAGAAAATGCTTTGTTGGATGAAATAAAAGTGGGATCAATATTTGACAAAAAGAAGAGTATAATTAATTATTTTTCGAATATAGCAATTAAAGGACATTTTGAATTCAAGGTTGTTAGATCACGCTCAACAAGATATTCGTAGAAATGCAATGATGATAGATGTGGGTGGTGTGTGCGTTCTTTCAGAATTAAAGATTCAACACTGTTCAAGATAGTAAAGATTGAGAAAAATCTTGACTGCTCTGTTAACACTATGAAAACCGATCAAAAGCATGCAACTTCAAAGTTGATTAGTGGTTACATTATCGACAATCTTCGAGACCCAAGGTTTGAAGTTACGCCAGCTTTTGTCATGGCAGAAATGCAAAAATTGCATGGACTAGACATTGGGTATCACAAGGTGTGGCGTGCTATTCAACGTGCTTCCGCTTTAATAAGAGGAACTCCTAAAGAGAATTATGAATTATTGTCTTCATACTTGTATATGATGAGAAGTAAAAAACCGGGAACATATACTAACATAAAGATAGACAACAACAACAGGTAAACAATCAAAAAAGAATTTATTAGTCTGTTTTATAAACTTTAGGACATGTTGTCTTTAATCAGTTAAGAAGTTAAGGACGTGTTGTCCTTAACTTTCATGTGTGCAGTCAAAAAGTTAATGATACTTGGTCCTTAACTTAGAATTGCAAGTTATAAAATTAAGGACATAGTGACCTTAACTTTTGACCTTGTTAGTCTAAGTTAAGGACTCCATATCCTTAACTTTTGAACTTTGAACTCAAAGTAACTTAGACTAACAAGGTCAAAAGTTAAGGTCACCATGTCCTTAATTTTATAACTTGCAATTCTAAGTTAAGGACTGCATGTCCTTAACTTTATAACTTGTAACTCTAATTTAAGGACTTCATGAACTTAACTTTTGACCTTGTTAGTCTAACTTCAGGACTATTTGTCATTAACTTTTGGCCTTGTAACCTGAAGTTCAGGACTACCTATCCTTAACTTTTGACCTTGTTAGTCTAAGTTAAGGACTGTCTGCCCTTAACTTCTGTTAACATTGTTTTATACTATATTTTCAGGTTTGATTATATGTTTTATGCATATGGATCATCAATATCTGGTTGGAATCATTGTAGACCAGTGATTGCAGTTGATGAAACTTTTTTGAAGTCAAAATTTCATGGTGTTATTATAATTTCAGTTTCAAAGGATGCAAATAACCAAATTTTCCCACTAGCCTTTGGAATAGCAGAATCTGAAAATAACAATTCCTATGAGTGGTACTTTAGTGAGATTCGCAATGGAATTGGGAGCCATGAGAATTTAATTTTTTTTATCAGACAAGCATCAATCTATTGCATATGCCATCGCAAAGGTATATCCTGAAAGCCACCATGAGATTTGTATTTATCATTTGGAGCAGAACCTAAAGCGAAGGAAAGTGAAAAGTGAGGTCATAAAACTTTTTCAAACTGCTGCAAGAGTATACAGGCGCAAAGAATTTGATCTTTACATGTCAGATATAGAAAAAGTAGATAAGAAGACTTATGACTACTTGATGGAAGAACCACCAGAAAAGTGGGCACGCTCTTGTAGTCCATGACGAAAATATGACATGCTCACAACAAACATAGTTGAGTTAATGAATTCTATCCTATTAGAAGCAAGGGAGCTGCCTATATTAAGAATGATGGATTTCATTCAAGTGAAGCTACTACGTTGGTTTTATGGAAGAAGAAATGAAGCAGAAGGAACTTTTTATGATGTTTCTTGTTGGGTAGAGGAGAAATTGAAGAAAAAGATAGATATAGCATTTACTTTGAATGTAAGTATTATGTTCTATGTTTAGGTTATTATTTTAATATAATTTAACATAATGTACCAACATATAATTTTTCAACATTGAAGGTCTTCCCTGTTGATTCATGGCGTTCTAGAGCTGAAGAAGAAGGAATAACTTTCTTGGTGGACTTAAACAAAAGAACATGTGGTTGTTTTCAGTTTCAATTTGATGAATTACCATGCATACATGCAATTGCAGCTATCGAGAAGAGAAACATCAAGAAGTCCAACTTTTGCTCGTACTGGTACTTAAAGGAATCTTGGCTGAAAACATATGAAAGACAAATACATCCTGTAGGACATATTGATTCTTGGATTGTACCAGAGAGTGTTAAGTCACAAATTGTTAAACCTCCAGATTTCAAAGTGCCACTAGGTAGAAGGCAGAAGAAAAGGCATATTCCAACTACCGAGTCATCAAAAATAACATTCAAATGTGGTCGTTGCAGAAGAATTGGTCATAATAGAACAACTTGTATATATTCTCCTGCAGTCCATCCATTTTCAAGAAAGCATAGAGAATAATAGATATATCCACTTATGTTTATCGACTCTTTTAAGTTTTTGCTATAAATTGGATTCATTTAGATTATTCTTATTTGAGCAGATGTCTGAATTTTCATAATTTCTTTCTGCTTATGTTCTTTTTGTTTATTTTTGAGTTCAAAGTTCAAAAGTTAAGAACATACAGTCCTTATATTTGACTTACAGGTTCAAAAGTTAAGGACATGCAGTCCTTAAGTTTGACTTACAGGTTCAAAAGTTAAGGGCAGGCAGTCCTTAACTTTGAGTTCAAAGTTCACAAGTTAAGGACTGCCTGTCCTTAATTTTGACTTACAAGTTAAAAAGTTAAAGACAGACAATCCTTAACTTTGAGTTCAAAGTTCACAAGTTAAGGACTGCCTGTCCTTAATTTTGACTTACAAGTTAAAAAGTTAAAGACAGACAATCCTTAACTTTGAGTTTCAAGTTCAAAATTTAAGGACAGGCAGTTCTTAACTTTGACTTACAAGTTGAAAAGCTAAGGACACTTGGTTCTTAACTTACAGTTCTAAGTACAAAAAATAAAGACACTTGGTCCTGAAGTTTGAGTTCCAAGTTCAAAAGTTGATGGTCCTGAATTTAGACTTTCAAGTTCAAAAGTTAAGGACACTTGGTCCTAAAGTTTCAGTTTCAAGCTCAAAAGTTAAGGACACATGCTCCTGAACTTTGACTTATAAGTTCAAAAGTTAAGGACACTTGGTCCTAAAGTTTCAGTTTCAAGCTCAAAAGTTAAGGACACATGCTCCTGAACTTTGACTTATAAGTTCAAAAGTTAAGGACACTTGGTCTTTAACATTGAATTTGAAGTTCAATTACACTTGGTCCTGAACTAATACTTACAAGCTCAATGGACAAATTAATACTTGACAGAAACAAAGAAATTAATAACATGATGCCTTCATATTACTTCTGAAATTGTAATTTTGCATAATTGTGACAAAAAATTATGCTATGCAAATAAAATAAAAGTGCCTTTTGACGAATTTACAAGATCTTTCAGAATTCATATGGATTCTTTACAGTAATGTTATATAAAAAATCAACCACAACTAACTTTCTTTACAACTAAACTATAGCTCCTTCGGACAACAAGCTTCATTTTCACTATCATAGTTGTCGCCAACATTTTCTAGTGGTGTATCATAACCAAAATTTCTTTTCCACTCTCCTGCCCAAAGATTTGCTGCAAGTTCTTTTCTAAAGTCTTTTATGTCTTCAGGTTGGAATTTCTCCACATCCTTTCCCATCATCAACAACTCCACATACTTGATTAGGAATGCAACACAATCAGTCCTAAGAAAAATGTAAGATATAGAGTCAATTAAACAATAAATCTAAAGTACATATAAATTATATAACAAATAACAACATGTACGATCCAGTTTGGTGTTGTGATCTTTTCCAGTGAATATCAAATTTGTTGAATGTATTTCCAAAAGATTGTGATATTTCTCAAACTGTGTGACCTTTAGCAAGTGGGGGATCATGCTTGCATACATTTCAATGTGATTCATTCCTGCCTCATATGGCTCACTATATATGGAATCGTACACATCAATCTTTTTCTCATTCAAGTCCAATACCCCCAAAAGAAAATGTATCACAGCATCATTATCTTCTGAAGGAAGCCTACATGGAAAAAAGATTTTGGCTACCTCAGTCCAAGCAATTCCACATCTACGACTGTCACCCCATACATATGGTGTCAGAAACAATTGATTATCACCACATCAAAACTCATCTACAACATCTTCATTGAAATCCTTATACACAAGCACCATATAGTTATCAAAAAGTATATTTGTAGTTATGCAACGAAAAGGATGGTCGCGAGGGTGGTAGCATTCCTTCTTTCTCAGATAATATAGGGCAATGTCAATATGCTTCATAAAAAGGCAACAAATAAAACAAATCCATCAGTCATAAAATAATTAAAAAATAATAAATTAAGAATAAAGAAAATAAATGCCTTGCGAATTATCAACCTTATCATCAAGTACAAAGCTACTATCTGAAAGCTCAAGGAAGAACATTTTACTACTGATTTTTTGATGATACAAATTGTATGGATTCTTTCTCACACCATTATCAGCAGCATATATATCAGTTTGTCCCCTGAAAAGTTTGAAAATATCAAAGTTAGAAGTTAGTCCTAAACTTAGACTTTCAAGTTGAAAAGTTAAGGACACTTGGTCCTGGAGTTTGAGTTTCAAGTTGAAAGTTGAGGACACTTGGTCCTGAAGTTTGAGTTTCAAGTTCAAAAGTTAAGGACACATGGTCCTGAACTTAGACTTACAAGTTCAAAAGTTCAGGACACTTTGTCCTTAACTTAGACTAACAAGTATAAAAGTTAAGGATAGGCAGTCCTTAACTTATAGTCCAACTTCAAAAGTTGAGGACACTTGGTCCTGAAGTTTGAGTTTCAATTTGAAATGTTAAGGGCACTTGGTCCTGAACTTCAAATTTTAAGTTGAAAAGTTAAGGACACTTGGTCCTGAAGTTTGAGTTTCAATTTGAAATGTTAAGGGCACTTGGTCCTGAACTTCAAATTTTAAGTTGAAAAGTTAAGGACACTTGGTCCTGAACTTCAAGTTTCAAGTTCACGTATGGTCCTGAACTTAGACTTTCAACTTCAAAAGTTGAGGACACTTGGTCCTGAACTTAGACTTACAAATTCAAAAGTTAAGGATACATGGTCTTGAACTTTGACTTACAAGTTCAAAAGTTCAGGACACTTGGTCCTGAACTTTGAATTCCAAGTTGAAAAGTTAAGGACACTTGGTCCTTAACTTTGATTTTCAAATTCAAAAGTTAAGGACACTTGGTCCTAAACTTAGACTAACAATTACATAAGTTAAGGACACTTAACTTTAGGAATTTCAATATTAATATACTTAGTCCTAAATTTAAAATTACAAGTTAAGGACACGAATTTAAGTAATTAACAAATAATGAAATACATTTAGGGACTTACGCTTTTTTACGACCTTTCCTTTTCTCCTTGCCCAACCACCCAATGAATTTATTCAATAATTTTGCATCATCTTTGGCATAATGAAAAATACATGTACGAGTTTATTTTGATTTTATCCAGCCCGTATTATTGGGAGTATTTTCATTGTGCACCATCGATGTTCCTGTTTTTCTTTCCTGTTCAAAAGGAGATTTCAACTGCCAACTAAGCTTCTTATTCCATTTANTGTGTGTGTGTGTGTTTGTTGCAAGTCGTCAAATGAAGAGATAAAAACTAAGAACAATATTTTTGAAATGTACTGGCATTTTCAATTATGAATATAATATTTAGGACACAATCAATACTTGTCTTGTTCACACTGCCTTCTTGTATTTTTTCAACATACAATTGAGCTGACATATTGGCTGTATTTTCTTTATCTTCCAACTGTACATTTTCTTTATCTTGCAATTGTTCTCCATGTTCTTCAATTGCAAGTCCACAAGATTCTGCAAAATATTTTTAAGAGCTAACGCAATTAGTACTTTTTACTAATCTTTGATTAAAAAAATATGTATAAAATTAAAAAAAAATATTGTCTAACCATTTGCAACTGTCAAGATCATCGCAGTTAAATTATTATCTTCACTAGCATTTTCTTGGCTTCCAATATTGCTGGTAAGAGAGCGAGGTGCAGAGAGATCACATGTTCCATCTATGCATTTGGAAACAATCTCACTTATGCTTGTTCCTTGGGTGTTTTCTAAGTCTTGAGATTGTACTCCACTTTTCTCTTAATACTCCACTCCATCTTTTTCCCTTGCAGCTTGAAAAGATTCTGTAACATTTACAATTAATACTCATTCTAATAGTTCACTAAAACTAACAGTCAACATATAATGAAAATTTCATCTAACCTTGATTGGCATAATTTTGAACTCCAAATTTCTCTTTATATGAGAGAGGTGTAGACATATCATATGTTCCTTATAAACATTTGCATACAATCTCACTGACACTTGTTCCCAATGGACTTTCTAAATCCTGAGATTGCACTCCACATTTACAAATTTTTTCTGTTACTCCTGTCTCTTTTGGATTTTCCAGGTCTTGACATTCTACTATATCTTGAAATTCCACTCCATTAATAGATTTTACATATATTTGTAATCACAAAAAAGTTTATATGTATTACGCTATTGAATATAAATTTCAATGACAAAAAATTCAAAATCTATATCTAACCTTTCCCAATTTCAGTGCCAATATTAGTTTCATCATCTAGATGTCATCTCTATATTTGCTTTCATATTGAACTTCTACATGCACATCCGTATCATCACATTCATCAGCACCAACATCTTTGTTAATTGTAACAATAGGTTTTGTACCATCACAATGATCATCAACTCCATCTTTAGTAATTGGAACACTAGATTCTCTCTCTATGTTCCTTTCATCAGGTTTCACAAAAATCTTCAACAAAGTATCAATCTTTGATCCTAGACTTTTCTTTAAATCCTGTGGAAGAAACTAAGTTAGAAAGTTAAGGACAGGTAGTCCTAAACTTCAAGTTACAAGTAAAAAAGTTAAGGACAGGCAGACCTTAACTTAGAGTAACAAGTTCAAAAGTTAAGAACGCTTGGTCCTAAACTTCAAGTTTCAAGTTCAAAATTTAAGGACATACAGTCCTTAACTTTGAATTACAAGTTAAAAATTTAAGGATAATAGGTCCTGAACTTCAAGTTTCAAATTGAAAAGTTAAGGACAGTTGGTCCTGAACTTCAAGTTTCAAGTTCAAAAGTTCAGGACAAATGGTCCTGAAATTAGACTTACAGGTTCAAAAGTTAAGGACACTTGGTCCTAAACTTCGAGTTTCAAGTTCAAAAGTTAAGGATAGACAGTCCTTAACTTATAGTTACAAGATCAAAAGTTAAGGACTATAGGTCCTTAACTTCAAGTTTCAAGTTCAAAAGTTAAGGATAGATAGTCCTTAACTTTGAATTCCAAGTTCAAAAGCTAAGGACCA